AACTGTAAATTACCTAAGTAGGTACGTCAGGTTTAGAAGTACAAGCTCGACTCCACTTCATATTCAAGGAGTAAGTAGAGCAAAAGCTGTACTTGTTTTATTATTTCTCTGTTATCACTTTATTCTTGCGTCACTGTTTATGGTTGACCTCAGTCAATCAATCAGAACTGTAAATTACCTAAGTAGGTACGTCAGGTTTAGAAGTACAAGCTCGACTCCACTTCATATTCAAGGAGTAAGTAGAGCAAAAGCTGTACTTGTTTTATTATTTCTCTGTTATCACTTTATTCTTGCGTCACTGTTTATGGTTGACCTCAGTCAATCAATCAGAACTGTAAATTACCTAAGTAGGTACGTCAGGTTTAGAAGTACAAGCTCGACTCCACTTCATATTCAAGGAGTAAGTAGAGCAAAAGCTGTACTTGTTTTATTATTTCTCTGTTATCACTTTATTCTTGCGTCACTGTTTATGGTTGACCTCAGTCAATCAATCAGAACTGTAAATTACCTAAGTAGGTACGTCAGGTTTAGAAGTACAAGCTCGACTCCACTTCATATTCAAGGAGTAAGTAGAGCAAAAGCTGTACTTGTTTTATTATTTCTCTGTTATCACTTTATTCTTGCGTCACTGTTTATGGTTGACCTCAGTCAATCAATCAGAACTGTAAATTACCTAAGTAGGTACGTCAGGTTTAGAAGTACAAGCTCGACTCCACTTCATATTCAAGGAGTAAGTAGAGCAAAAGCTGTACTTGTTTTATTATTTCTCTGTTATCACTTTATTCTTGCGTCACTGTTTATGGTTGACCTCAGTCAATCAATCAGAACTGTAAATTACCTAAGTAGGTACGTCAGGTTTAGAAGTACAAGCTCGACTCCACTTCATATTCAAGGAGTAAGTAGAGCAAAAGCTGTACTTGTTTTATTATTTCTCTGTTATCACTTTATTCTTGCGTCACTGTTTATGGTTGACCTCAGTCAATCAATCAGAACTGTAAATTACCTAAGTAGGTACGTCAGGTTTAGAAGTACAAGCTCGACTCCACTTCATATTCAAGGAGTAAGTAGAGCAAAAGCTGTACTTGTTTTATTATTTCTCTGTTATCACTTTATTCTTGCGTCACTGTTTATGGTTGACCTCAGTCAATCAATCAGAACTGTAAATTACCTAAGTAGGTACGTCAGGTTTAGAAGTACAAGCTCGACTCCACTTCATATTCAAGGAGTAAGTAGAGCAAAAGCTGTACTTGTTTTATTATTTCTCTGTTATCACTTTATTCTTGCGTCACTGTTTATGGTTGACCTCAGTCAATCAATCAGAACTGTAAATTACCTAAGTAGGTACGTCAGGTTTAGAAGTACAAGCTCGACTCCACTTCATATTCAAGGAGTAAGTAGAGCAAAAGCTGTACTTGTTTTATTATTTCTCTGTTATCACTTTATTCTTGCGTCACTGTTTATGGTTGACCTCAGTCAATCAATCAGAACTGTAAATTACCTAAGTAGGTACGTCAGGTTTAGAAGTACAAGCTCGACTCCACTTCATATTCAAGGAGTAAGTAGAGCAAAAGCTGTACTTGTTTTATTATTTCTCTGTTATCACTTTATTCTTGCGTCACTGTTTATGGTTGACCTCAGTCAATCAATCAGAACTGTAAATTACCTAAGTAGGTACGTCAGGTTTAGAAGTACAAGCTCGACTCCACTTCATATTCAAGGAGTAAGTAGAGCAAAAGCTGTACTTGTTTTATTATTTCTCTGTTATCACTTTATTCTTGCGTCACTGTTGCACGACCCACATGTTCCGTCGTCCTTTTCATGGCTCACCAAACATTTCGATCCACTCAAGACTACCGTTTTCAGATTTAAGAAGCATCAGCGAGCAATAGATTATTCCCGATAGGTAATTAATAGTTACCTAATTAAATCCATAATATCAGAAATTGAGAAAAATCAACAAGCAAGAGCTGAACACACAAGGGCAGTGCCTTCTCGGTAAAAAGATGAAAGGTTGTACCGAAAGCAAATAACGGCACGTTGCAAAATGATAAGCTTCCAGAGGATCCCCGTCTAATAACTTACTTGAACAAATAGTAGTTTAGTTACCTTCAAATCCTACAAACCGGCTTTTTTCCTCAAAAAACTCTATCGTAAACGGCAAATGTAATTATTGACTCTGAGTGGCTCGGGTCCGCAGTAACATAGGGCGGCGGGAGAAGCTCCACTCTACGCTCCACATCTATCTGTTCCATGAAAATAAACTGCAAGCTTTCGAAAAACAAAATTCAGAGGACTTCCTCGTCTCAAGCAAGAGGCTTGTGAAGGTTGGGTTCGACTTCAGGAACGGGCAAAGTAGGCAGGTAGGTCAGGCATTTAGTTTTATTTAGCATATTGGTACATGTAAGTAAATATATAGACAAAGCTCACGCTATTTCTGCTTTCGATCAGAAGGTTGACGGGGTGGCTGCGGTAAAACGTGTCGCAGGTTCGATTCCGGCACGAAACAACTCGTTGTGTGGTTCACAAATTTTCTTCCGTTTCTGGATTTGATGTGTGTGTGTGACATTGTTCGTTTGCAAACGCACCCTACGACACAAGATAAAATCCATATGTGGGGGCAACGGCTTTAAAGAAATACATGACACTAACAAAGTCAAAATACATGGGATGGATGGGATGGTTCCATACAGGAAAAGCGAATTAAAGTACTTAATTTTGTATCAAGTAACTATTTGTTGTTAAAGAGGCACACATACACTTTAAAACACACCATTCGTAGAATTTATCCTTCAGACGGATGAACGGACAGTGTTTTACCCCTTGAAAGAAGGAATCCTTAAACCTTACTTTTTTCTCCCGAGATAAGGAGTCGTGAAGAACTTCTACAATATTCCTGCACAGTGACTGATGCTATGGGGCCCTTGCTCTAATGGAACCCGTGCGCTACGATAAAATATTTATTGGAATTAAATATGGTGGGCCGGTGGGCCGGTGGGCCCTTCGGCAAATTAGAGGTCCCGCTTCAAGGACCCAGGTCATACAGATTCCGTTGAAAAGGTCACGATGACGTAAAACACAGATTTTTAGATAAATATCAACTCGCTAGTTGCTAGGAACTCGGACAAAGTGTTATGGTTTCGGACTTACGGAAATATTTACCTAGGTAATAAGAACCTAGGTATACAATATGGAAAATGAAATACGTAGTGAATAATGTGAGCTGTGTGTGAAGTGTGTTATTGTATACTGGCTTTTGCCCGCGACTTTGTTCGCGTGAAATAGTGACTTCTTTTCTTGGTTTAAAAACTATCCTATGTCCTATCTCGTGTTCCAAACTATGTCTGAACCAAATTTCACAAAAATTGGTTCAGTAGTTTAGGCGTGAAGAAAAGACAGACATACAGACAGAGTTACTTTCGCATTTATAATATTAGTTTGGATCTCCACCTTGTCTACAGGAAGTAGTAGATTTTTTTAAGGAGGGAAAATCAGCAAATTACTTCTCTCGCCAAGGGAGAGGCGAGAGTGCGAGACTCATACTCTTACTGACTAAACACCAGTCCGTTCGTTTTCTTGCCGCGGACGCGTACCTCAGCCTAGCGCCGAGGCCGCGGTACATCACGGCGCTTGTCCCGCAGTCCCGGTTGAGACCAGCCTACCCTCTAACGTGATTTCGAATCTACAATTTGGAATGAGCACCTAGCTTCACTGACGAACAGACTGACAGACTACTTTTCTATTTTGACGTTTCAAAAGTACCTATTTATGGTTTAGTTGGAATAAATGATTTTGACTTTGACTTTGACTTTGATTATCAAAGTCCAATCCACTTAAAATCAAACAATTTATTACAATTACACCAATATAAAAGAGGAGTTCGAGTAAAACTAAACTGAATTACGAAAACTAACCTTACCATGACGTTTGACCATGATTTTTAGTAATTCTTTACTCAATTGAATAACTTTTTGTACTTGGTAATTGAAAAAATCGATTTAATGAATATTTACATTTCAAAATCAATTAAATAGTATTTAACTTGTTTTTAGCCATACATTTATACCGAACATACTTAGATAGTTTAAAAATGATTTATTTGCTAAAGTAGATTCGGTTGCAATAATGCAGCGGACGGTTAAAACTATCGCATAAGTATAATTATATGCATGCATAAATTCATGAACTAAAACTCATTCATTCATCTTCAAGCAGTGTCCATTAGATGTTCATACAAACCACACGATGTTTCATTCAAAAGGCGTTCAAGCAAACCTCGACCTTATCACGTGAACATACATTAGGTGGTGGGGATCACCTTTGATTTTAGTAACTTGGACGCAACTGCTGACAATATCAATAAAACACAATATTACTTAAAATATGTTTATTATTACGTAATTGTATAAATAAATGTTTCCTTAAAATTAGTTCGTATAACTTCATTAAAGGCGGTGAAGCTTTCCATTAATAAAATTTAATGAAAAAAAAGGATTTCCACTAATATAAATCTTATGTCCAGTTGTCACAGAATCATGAATCCAATCGACAATGTTAGAGGCCCGAATACAGACTGTCATAATATTATATACTTCATTTATATTTATTTATAAATATCCTTTATGAGTAGACTGACGTATAGAGATCCTCAAATAAGATGAGGTGGTTGTGGTTGTGATGAGGCATTGTAGACTATGTTAGCGCGCCATCTGTTGGATAGTGGCTCAAACTTTGTCTTATAGTACTGATAGATTTATTATTTATTATATAGGTACTTAAACACACTAGCAGCTTAGAAAGCTGATGCGTGCGTATTAATGGATGTAGATGTCGCTACTTAATTCTCTCCAAGACCGGAAGCCACTCTTCGATGATTTCTGATAAATGATACCAATGCTAGTGTAGAATGCTCCTAGTTCCAGTGTATCATGTGGAACTGTGTCACAAAAGACACTAAGTATATGGTTTCGAAGACATGTCGTTTAGGGTAATTCACCAGGGTGCTACTTAACTTGTTCCATCTTATTGTTTTTACTTAACTATTAGTAGGACAGACATGTCTTTACAGCCATCTCTATCTTACACGCCTATACTTAAAATATTAACACTCCTTTTCAATGATTGCCTCCAACAATATATTCTAAAGTAAGGTACAAAGGTACAATGTCTCATTTCAACAGGCCTATGGCTGTATTTCCAATTCCGGTGGTAATGGTATATTCTTCATGATGGCAAAACGTTTGAGCGCGTCATACTTCCCTCGCAGCGCCTCCACCTCCTCGCGGATCCTGTTGTTCTCGTCCTGCATCAACTCCATGTCGTGCCACTCCTGGAAGTTACGAGAATACAATAAGAGATGGCGTTTCATAAAGTTGCGTGTTATCAATACGGTAGTTTCCAACTAGTCAAATTCAATACTCTTATCCAAATGTCAAAAACGATACTTTTCTATGAGACTGCAATTAATGACGTCATAGTATTTTTGCGTCAAACCGATTACTTATTTCTTAAAAATTCGCTACAAAATATCAAAAATTTTGTGTATCTGTATGTATCGATCGAGGAATAAAAGTATGATTACTTTTCAATGTTGTATTGTATTGAAACGTCCAATTATTTTATTTTTTACTAAAGTCTGAGATTTTTCAATGATTAGATAACAGTTACTGGGGGAATTTTTGTAAAAGACAGTGACAGAAACAATTTTATCCCTCAAATAACATTTATCTGACTATTGCAAAATCAGCCCTTAGGAAACTAGCAAAATGATCAGTGGAATGTAGCTTATTTTGTTACCTACTACTATTTCTCAAATCCTACGGAGCCGAGTCAGAAAAAAAATACAAATACTTTATTTATGCTCATACTGCAAAAAAAATAATAATGATATGATAAAGAAATCAAATAATCAATTGCTAGATAGGTTATAGATTAATAAAATTGCTTACTCATATAATAATATACCCGTAAATAAACATCATGTTATATTTTATTTTCTGTGGGAGTGGCCTAAGAAAGTCGGAAGTGTATTGCCGTCTTTTGGAGTTCAGGATTTGAGGACTGGGCCATCTAGAAAGGATTGGGCGTCGTAGAAGGTGAGACGGACGGGGCCTACGGTAACCTCACTTACAGGGAGAAACACAATTCAAGCGTTTTCTCACGCTAGTTTTGTGTGCGGCCGTTGTATCACTTGTTGAGCCGGCCCAGCTCTCCATACAGTACAATAGGCACTAATTAGTTAGTTCTACTTGTTATCACATGTATGCGTGAACAAACCTGGCTCTTCTCAGTCTCGAGCTCGTCCTTCTGCTCGATGCGTTTGATGCGGCACGACGCGGCGTACCCGCGGTTCTTCAGAGTGCGACGACGCTGCTTCATCCTGCGATTATACACACAATTATACAGTAAGCATTCAGGTGAACACCAATATTATATTTTTTGTAATCTGACTCCACAGCAATCCGCGCGTTTGGTGGACAGAGATTGTCCCGCGGGTACCTTAGTAACAGGAACTAATAATAATACGATACGATTAAGAGCCTCGGTGAGACTTTTTTTTTGTGAGGAGAAAATCATCAAATGTGTTCTCCCGCTCAGGGTGAGGCAAGATTGAGTTTCAGACTCTTACTGACTATAAACCCGCCGTTCCTTCTGCTACCCTAGACCGAGGCCGTGTGCAGGAGATGCGATTGCCCCTCAACCCCCCTTTTTATGGAATAGAGCGCAACCAGTAGCGAATCACTTGATGGTAAGTAATCAGAGCCACTCATGGACACCAAAGGCCAAAAACGCTGTAGTTGTTTCACTCCTGTAGAGCCAGCCTATCCGTGTTAAACGTAGCTAGGTTACCTGACTATCTGGTCCCGGGTGAGTCCCCTCATCTTGAGCTGCCGGTTCAGGTCGCGCACGGATATGGAGACCAGCTCGTCATCACTGATCTCCGCGCATGGGGTCGGCGACAAGGGAGCCTGAAACCAACGTTTCTATAATTTGCATCCATTCACTCCCGACCCCGTTGAAAAATTTTAAAACTGAGATGAACATAATAATGTTAAAACAAGACGAATTATTATTAAATACAGTTTTGTAAACTGTATTCAATAATAATTCGTCAACGTCGTGCGTAACCTAGATTGTTAGAATTACTATACGATCAATGACAAGTGATGCGCCACGTAGGTCATAACTACAGGAGAGGCAGAGGAGAGGGTGATGTCCTAGTCACAACAGAGTTACTGTACCTCCTCAGTAATAGGAACAACTAGATATAACAATATTAATGAATTGTTTATTTAAAATTAAACGCTCACCTCCAAATCATCCCAGTGGACGTCCATATTGTTTTACAATGTTTTTTTACACCACCCGTTATAATAATATTTTTTATATTTACTGCACTTTTACTTTTTACAAGTAGGCACATAGGTATGAGGTAGGTAAGGTACTGCTCAACTCAAGGAACAACTACAAAATGAACGAAACATACGTTGTCGAAGTATCGTGGAAGAGAAACTGCAAATCATCGTGACTTCAAAATATAAGTGCGAGTGAATTATGTTATTTGAATTTATCTTGTTTGTGTGACGTCCCCTACAGATATAGGTAGCGAGGTGCGGATGATTCAGATTGTAACTAATTGATTCGTATAACAAGGATAACGCTAACACGTGAGTATTTAGGAGTCGTTACACCACACCACACGTGAAGCCGTTACAACAGAGCACGGAGTACACATTAGTGCAATAGATTCCATCAGCCAACAAGCCCCGCGAAGTTAAAAAAAGAGAAAGTACAATCTGAAGTCGACACCAAATACTTAGTGCTTTACAAAAAATACTCTTTGCAAAATGAAAAGCGATTAAACTAGATAACCGCACCCTCCGCATTATAATTTTGATCACGTCTAGGTAGCTCAAAGGAGGAGCTGAAGTAACAGTGCAGACGTCGTAGTGTGGCCGACTTGTGATCACCGTAGGGCACGGCCAGGCGACAGACTAGGGACGTCTTGTCGTCCGACCAGCAGCAGACCTCGAGGCGGCGGCGCAGTGTTCCGCGCCTCATAGTGGAGTCGACGGCCGCAGTGGGTGACGGGGCCCTCCTGACTACCTGTCTGCTTAGGCGACACCCGCGACACGACACTTGGGTAAATGAAGGTCACCGGGTTGGTTTTAAGTCAGTAAGAGTATGACAGAACCTATCCGTCGCCCTTCCTAGAGAGCGGTGGGTCTCCTCCATCCAAAACCATAAAAGCTAAATAAAAACTCGCGAACCTGTACCAAGTAGGTACCTGTACCTGTCCTATGCCCAACAGTTGACGATAGTGAGCTGATTATTTGGTGATGAACGACCGGACTACACGACTCGTGACCATTATATTTCTATACTAACATGAATAGAGTACTTTGGTCAACAAGGCAGTTATATATCTTTATAACAACACAATCTTGTACAAAATTTGAATAAAGATGACGATTTTGACACAAAATTATTTGATACATCCAAATATTTATACCAAGACCTATATTTATACGACGAGTTATAGTTTACATTATTATCGAAAAAGAAAGGATCGTCGCGCCGTCTAGCAGCATGATTGGCATAAAGTATTAGTGATGGAACTGAATAAATAAAGGTCGCGGCTACAATAAAACCTGCGCGACGAAAGTGGAATTATAAAGAGGAAACCCGTGGACTGCCACAGGATGATGAAGATGAAGGGCATGTAAAAATTTAGAGTTAATGTCGATGTCTTGAGTGCACACAACTTGATAAGATATCATAAAAACCTTTAGTTGGTAATTGTGATTTATTTAAAAGGCATGTATGATCATCATGAACAGGCTTGGTGACGGATGGAGATGCTGATGACAGGAACAACCATGGCAGCACTGAGTATGGTCATCATAAAATGCTACTAAAAAGTGTTGTAATTCGAAAATAGTAGAACTTTTCTCAAAACTTTCATTCGAAGAAATGAAGAAGAAACTATGCTGATGAGAAAGCTGCTATAAATTTAGGTATCAAGGTTTTAGTTTTGCTTAACTTCTCTTATCTAATGATGAGAGATGATACATCACATGTTTTCTTTTACCAAATATTAGTGATGACAAACGACAAAGTAAAAAAAAAATATCCGACCAAACCAAATACAGGTAGGTACTTTCCAAACATCTAAAATAGGATAATAATCCAGTAAAGCTAGGGCTCATCCCAAAATACAGATTTCAGAGGAGAAGAATTAGCAAGAACCTCCATCATTACTCCTTCAATGAATAAATATGATCTACAATCTCACTGATTCATTATTCAATAGATTTAACTTGGGAAAAGCCACATTGTTTCTTTCAGGTCATTATTTTAAGTAAAAAATTATATCAAATATGATGACAAAACAAAAAATTGACAATGGGTCTTTTGAAGATTCAAATGTGGGCTTGTTTTTCTACTATTCCTCTTTGAGTTTTTACCTTTACATTGAGAGACAAACTATTTAGATGCATGTGTGATTTAATCCAACCACGGAATAATAATTTGTGTGATATGTGTTGTTGAAAATTGTCTTTAACACAAACATTGACCTTTTAATTGTTGTAATTTGAGACACAATAGAAAGACAATACACCTATTTAAAGATTAAAAGAAAAAATAATTCAGAGGGAAACTATATTAAAATATAACAAAAATCAAGCACCTAGATAGTTTTTGCCTTTAAGATATTGATCCAAAACTCTTATTGTATCAAAGTATAAATATAGGTAACTGCAATTTTTATAAATGTGTATATACTGTGACAGAAAACTCTTTGACATCATGACGTCAATGGATGGTTGTCAAACGTTGCCTAGAGATTGTAAATTTCGTCGTGAATTGTCAACACGAGTTGGTGTAATCGGTAAGGCGTGTGGATTACACCACAGAGACCCCGAGTTCGAGTCCCGCCGTAAACATGAAGTTTTTTAGTTGATGGAAGTTTTGTCGAACTTTCTGGAATATTTGAGTGAAAGTAATGAAAAATTAAGGAGCGAGAAGGAGAATAAATAAAAATGAATAACGAAATTATTGGAAGGTTCTGGAGGCATGACGATCAAAAAGAATAACGAAATTGAATGTTCTAGAACCTGACCAGGGGTATATAAGCGGAACTGCGGCTCACCGCTGGCAGTTGAGTTCTAAGTCCAAAGCGATTCGGAAGAAAAGGAAGAAGTGAAAAGAAGAAAAGTGAGTGAAATAGTGAAGTACAGTGAAATAGTGAAGTGCAGTCAGTTAAGTGAGTTAAGTCAGCGTGAACAGTGAACGGCAAAGTTGTGTCAGTCGGCCGGACTCTGCTGGAAAGGAACGCCGATAACTTATCCGTATCCGTGGACGCTGTCACTTAAGTGCAATAGAAAGTCTGAAAACCGGTATTAGTGTTTAATTTCATCCAATCCCGTAACCCAAGCCCGCATAGTTAGGAACGTGACGTCAGGCACGTAACATTTGGTGTCAGAAGTGGGATTGGAGAAAAATGCCGCTAGTGCCGCAGGACGTAAGAGGAGTGAGTACCCGTGCTATGTCAGAAGCGCAGCGTGTGAGAGAAGAGGGTGCTGCAGCTCAAACCAGCGATGCAGAAGCCAAGCCTGTGCAGGTGGATCTTCTGCTACAGCTACAGCAAATGATGGCAGAACAGCTGCGGGAGCTGAAAGAAGATCAAGCGCGCCGCCAAGAAGAGCAAGCAAGCTGTCAGGCAGAACAGCTGCGGGAGCTGAAAGAAGATCAAGCGCGCCGCCAAGAAGAGCAAGCGCGCCGCCAAGAAGAGCAAGCGCGCCGCCAAGAAGAGCAAGCACGCTGTCAGTCAGAAAAGCTGCGGGAGCTGAAAGAAGATCAAGCTCGTCGCCAAGAGGAGCAAGTGCGTCGCTTGGAAGACATGCATAAAGATTTCACGAAGGGACTGCAAAAGGCTGTCAAACGGGTACAAGAAGTGGAGGAAGGTTTAGGCAAGTTGGAACATCGCGTCATGGCGATAGAGGAGAGATTGGAAGAAGAGATCTCCAAAATCAAGCAGGAAGTGACAAACCCAAGCCCTTTGAAGAGCCGAAGCCGTCTTGCAGCCGTTTTTGACGCCCCAAATGCGGCCTTAAGCGCAACGAAAGGGCTCAAGATTCCCCATTACGACGGAACAACATCCTGGACCGCGTTCAAGCTACAGTTTGAGACACTTATGGAGGCTTATGGTTGGACTCAGAAGGAAGCACAGTCAGCCCTCACCCTGGCCCTCCGTGATCAAGCGCTCTCAGTGCTGGAAGCTATCGGCGCAAGTGGGGATCTCAGCTTTAGTGCCCTCCTCAACGCACTTGAGGCACGTTTTGGAGACAGCCACCTCGAGCACGTATACAGAGCGCAATTAAAAGAGCGTACTCAGCGTGCTAATGAGAGCCTACAGCAATGGTCCGTGGAAATCGAGAAACTTGTGCGTCGAGCTTTCCGGTCGACTCCGTCAATTATTGAAGGCACGCTTCTCCAAGCGTTCATTGACGGTATTCGGGACCCCGAAGTACGAGCTGCTGTTTATCTGGGCCATCACAAGAACATGAAAGAAGCTCTGGCCCATGCATTGGAAGTGGAAGCCGTGCGTGGCAACTCCCGTACCTTACGTCTGCGGGAAATGACAACAACGGAGCAGGTACCTCCACGCCGTCGGAATTTCATGTGCTATGGATGTGGAGAGCGTGGGCACATACGGAGCGACTGCTCGAAGAAGATGAACCGCCAGGACGCGGCGGTCTCAACTTCTGACCAGCAGGGAAACTTAAATCCAGCCAGGGCTGCGGGGTGGGCGCTGGCTGGTAGTGGAACAACCCCAACAATCTACATCAAGCAAACCAACGATGGAAATACTCTGGTGATAGACGGTCAAGTAAATGGGAAAAACAGTCAGCTAACATTAGATACTGGAGCTTCAAGGACGGTGATAAATGTTCGGCTGCTCGAG